GCTTTGATTTCCTGTCAGATCCAATACAGTTGGTCATTCTTGACTCTCCAAAGCTGAAATCTATTCAAATGAGATGGAAATTCAGATTAGAACTGTGCAACTTTAATATTTACATTATATTACAAAATGTTCATCCACTCACTGTCTATTGGCAGCATTTAAAGCCTCGAGTCTGTTTCGCTATGTGTGTAGACTCAAGCGATTCACCATTTTTCATTTCATTACATGCAAATTTTCCACAACTGGTGGGCAATTTTCCTGATTTTCAAGTGGATTTAAGTCGAATTGTGCTCTGATTAAATTACACCCTTTTACCAAGTCGTGGTTTTTGTCAGTGCTAGTGGTTAATTAAGTTGACCTTAAGAAAAATGGCCAACTGATCATATCTGTGTAGCAATTCACTCCGATTTATACGAGATTTAAAGCTGATTTTTTTCATAGCACAGTGAATTAATTCATACACTCTAATTCCCCAAGAGTCTAATTTAATGCTGTAATGTGTGTCTCTGATTTCATCAGCTAATTTGTCGACTATTTCTATTCTGTAAAATGTTTAAACATCTGAAAATGAGTGAACACACACAGATGCACACTTTTAACAAGCCTAACAACCTGTGCTCATCTAATTTTTACTCGCACGTTGCAATGTTTATCATATTTTCTCCCACGTCTTTGATAATTTCCCTGAGGACTAATTGGATGTGGGGGGGTGACAGTGCTGTGATTATTTTATTCCTTTATTGGACTTGATGAAGGCGCGAAATGAGATCCTGGACAAAAGAATAATCATGCACCGGACATTTGTTTTTAAATTCACAGACAGTTTATCATAAATGGGTTCATGTTGAGATGTTAATTCAAAACTTTAAAGGGGATAGTTCACACAAAAATCTAAATTACCCCATTGTTTGTTCTCCCTCGTGTGTTTTTAAACAGTTTTGAACACAAGATATTTTGAAGAATGCTTGGTTATCAGCATAGTGGCTCAGTGGTTAGCACTGTCGCCTCACAGCAAGAAGGTCGCTGGGTCAGTTTGCATTTCTGTGTGGAGATTGCATGTTCTTTCCCGTGTTGGCAAGGTTTTCTTCTGGTTTCTCCCACAGTTGCGCTATAGGTGAATTGGAATAACTAAATTAGCCATAGTGCATGTGTGTGAACGTGAGTGTATGGGTGTTTCCCAGTACTGGGTTGCAGCAAGTAGAGCATAAAAACATATGCTAGAATGATTGGTGATTTATTCCGCTGTGATGACCCCTGATAAATTAAATAAGAGAGTAATCCGTGAGAAAAGAGGGATTTTTCAAATTTCATTCGTCTCCTAGATGATAGAACATACTGCGAGTCAAAAGATGAGGCATCATAAAAGTTTAAGCCAACCTGTCGCCTCACCATCCAACTTCGCGACCACAAACACAGATGCTATGAGGAGCTACGTAGGATTTAAATCAAACTTTGCTCATCAACACTTGCATATACACCTATAAATTAACCACATATAAACCTATACTACAGTATGTTCAAAATATGTATGAAACCTGCGCATCTGTAAACTTGATGCATGCATACACCCACATACACACGCACAGACATATAAACTCGACACCTAAATTAACACTTAACTCGCTGCATGCTGGTAAAGCACTCGAGCAAACTTACAAAATAAAACTCCCGAAGATATTTATCAGGAATAAATATGTAGCCTATATATATATATATATATATATATATATGCATACAGTTGAAGTCAGAATTATTAGCCCCCCTGAATTATTAGCCCCCTTGTTTATTTTTCCCCCCAATTTCTGTTTAACGGAAAGAAAAAAATTTCATCACATTTTTAACCATAATAGTTTTAATAACTCGTCTCTAATAACTGATTTATTTTATCTTTGCCATAAGGACAGTAAATAATACTAATAATACTAATATTTTTACTAGATAATTTTCAAGACACTTTTGTACAGCTTAAAGTGACAATTAAAGGCTTAACTAGGTTAATTACATTAAATAGGCTGGTTAGGGTAATTAGGCCAGTTATTGTATAACGATGGTTTGTTCTGTAGACTTTCGAGAAAATATACAGCTTAAAGAAGCTAATAATATTGATGTTAAAATTGTGTTTTAAAAATTTAAAACTGCGTTTTTTTCTAGCTGAAATAAAACAAATAAGACTTTCTCCAGAAGAAAAAATATTATCAGACATACTGTGAAAATTTAATTGCTCTGTTAAACCTCATTTGGGAAATATTAAAAATTGAAAACAAAAATGCAAAGGGGCCTAATAATTCTGACTTCAACTGTGTATATATATATATATATATATATAAATAACTGTTCAGGTAGGTCTCGAGAACTCCCCTGCTTGATAATGTTGAAAGTAGATTATAAAGCTTTGAAGTGTTTATGCTGTCAATTTACTTGTTACATGTTTTTGGTCTATGAAAGGAAACCGGAGAGCCCGGTGAAAACCCACGCAAACACGAGGAGAACATGCAAACTCTGCTCAGAAACACCGACCTGGCCAGGAAGCGTTCGAGCCGGTGACATTCTTGCTGTGCGGCCGTAGTGCAAACCACTAGGCCTCCGTACTACCCTGACAAGGAAATGGGAGGAGTAGGGGTGAAAGGGGGGATTCTTCAAGACGAAGATGGCTGAAGTAAGATACTCTGGTTATTTATAGGGGTTGAGGAGTCGTCTGATTGGTAAATCAGCGTTAGCTAATGTGGACCAGGTGCTATCAATCATAAGCGCGTGCTCCTCTCGAAATTAGTTTAGAAATAAACTTCACTTTGTGAAACTTCAAAAATCTTGTCAAATTGTTTTGTTTTTGATCTTAAGATCTATTAGTCTTGCGAAATTGTGAAGGCACTGTTTAGATATATAATCCAATATCATGCGTAATGTGCAATAATAAACAAAAACATCACACTGTGATCTGATGTGAGGGGACACACAGGGACATTCAATGCTTCTCAGCCTAAATTATGAGGTGTAAGACTCGATGTTCACTGAGCTAAAGACACCCGTCAGACGTTAATGCCTCTGAGCGACTGCAGTTAAGTCAATCTCCATTTATTTCAGTCACACAGCGGATAATAATGGGCCTCATCACACGCCGATGATGATGATTCTATCGTCTTCGACGCGCTCTGGGTGGGAAACGCGTGATGGAGACCCTCTATTTGGCAGGCGAAGTGTTACATATTGAGATGTTGTGCATAAATATGCAAACACAATCTTCAGCTCTGTACGCTGGAATATTAATCAGCAAGGCCTGAAGGGACAGCGATCTGGTCTAATTGGTAAATCCCACTAACTGCTGAATAGCTGCTGTCTGAGATGGAAAAACAAGAATTAAGAGGGTTATTCATGCAGTTAGAGGTGGGCAGAGTGTGAATTATAATGACTGTTTATCAACGTGGAGACAGTAATGTATTATTGTTATTATTCATTCATTCATTGTCTTGTCGGCTTAGTCCCTTTATATTCAGGGGTCGCCACAGCGGAATGAACCGCCAACTTATCCAGCAAGTTTTTACACAGCGGATGCCCTTCCAGCCGCAACCCATCTCTAAGAAACATCCACACACATACTCACACACTACGGCCAATTTAGCCTACCCAATTCACCTGTACCGCATGTCTTTTGACTGTCAGGGAAACCGGAGCACCCGGAGGAAACCCACGCGAACGCAGGGAGAACATGCAAACTCCACACAGAAACACCAACTGAGCCGAGGCTCAAGCCAGCAACCTAGCGACCTTCTTGCTGTGAGGGGACAGCAGTATCCTACTGCGCCACTGCTTCGCCTATTGTTATTATTATTAATATTATTATTAGTTTGTTTGGGAAAACCTCTAAATTAAGTTAAAAGCAAAAGTTCAGCTCTGATATACTTGTATAAAAAAATCCAGTGGTATAGCCTTCGTTTCTTTGCAGAAAATCCTCCAAAATATTATTACAGTCCTGTCACTTTTGGGTTTGAGTGAGACAAATATCATTACTTGCACATTTAGCATCTCCTTTTCACAAGAAATTGTAGTTAAAAAAATATTATAAAATATCTGTGTAGCATTAGCGTTGGTTATTTTACCCAACCTATGTTTTTAACTTTGGGTTTCATCTCACAAAGTGTTGATTGTCTTCAGCGACTGCTGTGAAGTCTCTTTTTTCGCCTGTTTTTAGTCAAATTTATCATCGTCTTCATTGTTGTGAGCTCGAATATGACGGCTCACCCCCGCCGCTTCTCAAATGTCAAACCTTTTAAGCTCATCTCTAATACCTGCCACTTTTATACAACCAAAATATACAACGTTTGTCTTAAAAGGAATTCAGTTTAGGGGCTGTATTTGTTTAAATTGGGTATAAGAAAACTCACATCATTTTTCTGTGAAAATAGATTGGTCTGACTGGGTCCACATGCTGACTCTCACAAAAAAATAAGTGTATTTGCATTTCATTCTAGAGGTATTGTGTTATTCTCCCAAAATTGCTTGTTTGAAATATTAACCAAGGCAGAAAAACTTTAAAAAATAAAGCAAATCTTACGCCACTGATTTAAAATTGGCTTCCGCTGTGAATATAGACGCAAACTAGCCTCCCAGGAACAATCCTGAATTATTAACCTCCCGTTTTGTATTTTCCATTTCACCGCTTTTCAATAGATTCCTTATGGTGTAAAGGTTTTTTTCCGAGCCTCCTTCTCATTACAGCCCCAATACCTTTGTGGAGTGACCCGAGAACGATCGGTCACATCCAGTCGGTCCACTCCAAAAACTACAGAGGAGAAATTGCGGGGTCATTACGGCGCTCGCGGGGGAATGAATTTATTTGAAGGCATCGTGGGTCAAATGATTGAAGTCCAGCGTCAACCCAGATCTGTTTCAGACTCTATTACGGACATGGACAACAAACTCTGTCTTCTTCATCTTACTTTCAGTTCCTCAGAAACAAATCAGCCATATTGGAGGTTTTAAAAAGAGCAACCCAAGTCCTGCAGTTTTGTTTTGACATTAATTTTAGTGACAATAAAATCAAAGACAGTTGCGGACTTTTAAATATAAGCTCTACAGCAGATGGCTTACAGCTTTCACAGTGACTTCACAAAACAACATACAACAATATAATCAGTAACATCCTTCATCTGGAGTCCACACACACATTTATTATCATGTAACTGCGATTTGTTTACTTAAAGAGTACATAAACCCTGCCAACCTGATTTGATTAAGATGGACATGTTCCTAGATTAACATCCATGTTGATCCTGGAACAACATTCCAATCAGCCAATCAGCATTAAGGGATATGTTTACCGTTTATGTTAAGTTCAGGCTTACACTTATTGGGTTTATACCAGCACGCACACAACGTCATAATAGTTAGATTTAGGTTGTGATGTCAGGTGACCAAAATTCAATCTCTAGCCGATGTCTAAGGAGAACGTTATTTCGACGTCCAAAATCGACATCAAATGACGTTGATATTTGGTTGATTTTAGGTTGTGTTAGAAAGTGACCAAAATCCAACGAGGAGCCAACATCTTAAACCAACGCCATATTGACGTCAAATACTGCCATTTATTGGTCAGGTATGGCAACTAAAATCCAACAACGTTACGTGAACGTTACGCCCATATTAATCAAAAAACTACTTATAGTCAAGGCGTATACAGTTAAAGAAAATTATTAGCTTTAATTATGTTTAAAGCATTTCCAAAGTAATGTTTAACAGTTTTTTAACACATTTTTAAACGTAAATTAATTACTAAATTCAAATAACACATTTAAAAAAAAAATCTTTGACAGTACAATATGTTTTACTAGTTATTTTGAGAAATGCTAGTGCAATTTAAAGACTTACTAGGTTAGTTTGGTTAACGAAGTCATTGGACAACACTAGTTTGTTCTGTAGCCAATCAGAAAAAATAAGGGGGCTAATAATATTGACCTTAGCAGTGTTTACAAATTAGGAAACAATACTTTCTCCGGAACAAATATTATTGGTAGCTACTTCAATAGTGAACCAATACCAGCCAATCATGATCCAGCTCTAGAAAGGGGCGGAGTGGGCTCATTAGCATTTAAAGAGACTTGCACTGAAATGGCTCGCTGTTTATGACAGTGTGTGCTTTATTTACACTACCATTGGATCATTTACCCAAAGTAAGATATAGACTTTTCATTAGGACCCCAGAGAAACATATGAACTGTAAAATGAGCATTGTTACTTTTAAAATTCCCATGAAATTAAACCATAATTATTTAGACGTTAGCATCAGAATTGTTCATTTTTTAGGATATCTATAAGCTACTGCACACTAAAACAGTCTCAAAATTCACTTAATTTACACTTTACAAATTGCTCTGTTAAACATATTAATTATTTGAAAAAAAATAATTCCCAAAAGAGCTAATAACTCTTCAACTGTATATCAGTTTGATATTATCATTACATAGATCATTTTATTGCATTTAATGCTTAACCTTTTACAGGTCAACGAAGATCTGACAGCATAAAACCTAATGTAGTGAATATTTTGAAGGGTGAATTAGCATATAAACGATCCCAAAGCCGACATATATAAAGCAAAGGTGCGATTTTGCATGAACGGGGTCTTTAAGTGTGAGAGATGTAATTGAAAACAGCTCCACGGTCGAGTGTCGATCCACCCTCTCGATGGAGAATCATCTTCATCTGCTGTGGATTTTTATAAACACTCAGCGAAATACTTTGAAGCGACGACCGAGCGGCACTTCTTCACCGGCGGCATTTCCAACCTGAAGCACATAAATACACATGTAATAGAGCTCAGGGCAGGAGGTCAATCACAGAGACCCTCATTATAACACTCACAGATTCCAGTGGAAGCTCTTCATGGGAGCGAAGCCGTAGCTGGAAATGAGAGGAAATACGGTTGAATCTGTAACTGAAAAACACTGTAGGTGCATTTGTGCTGCATTGCGGATCCTGAACTTACTACTTGTCGTGACTTCCTAATAAAGTCTTCAGGCAAGTGATGTCATCGGTGATGTCATCATCAAGGAGAGCTTTTGAGGTTGAAAGGAAAGTAGGCGTAAGTTTGTTTATTCAAAAATGTACATTCATTCATTTTGTTTCAGCTTAGTCCCATGTTTATTAGGGGTTGCCACAGTGGAATGAACCGCTAACTATTCCAGCAGTTTTTATTAAGAGTGTTTATTTACACCAGGGGTCACCAAACTTGTTCCTGGAGGGCCGGTGTCCTGTAGATTTTAGCTTCAGCCTTAATCAGACGCACCTGATCAAGCTAATCAAGGTCTTACTAGGTATACTTGAAACATCCAGGCAGGTGTGTTGAGGCAAAGTTGGAGCTAAACCCTGCAGGGACACCGGCCCTCCAGGACCGAGATTAGTGACTCCTGATTTACACTACCATTGAGACATTTAACCAAAATTTAAGACCCCAGAGAAACATGAACTGTAAAATGAGCATTCAATGTTATCTTTTAAGGTCCCATGAAATTAAAATAAGGTTATTTAGATGTCAGCATCAGTTTTGCTAGTTTTTTAGGCTTATCTATACGCCACTACGCACCAAAAGTCACAAAATCTTCATTTATGACAATAATAAACTGATTTCACGTCACCTCATACCAGGGACAGGGACTGGGACAAAAAATCAGCCCTGGCACTGTAGCCACACCAGCCCACGTTACCACACCGACACAGCCCCACCCAAGGACACGCACACTCACTACTTTGTGTACAGATAGTACAATTATATAAGCAGTAACATATTTAAGAGATGTTTAAACATTTAATGTATGTGACTAAAACAAAAACAACCCATTTATATATGCAAGCATGTCATTCATTTTTTTTTTCGGCTTAGTCCCTTTATTAATTTAAGAACCACCAATTTATCCAGCATCCCTGCTGAAAAATCCAGCTTAAACCAGCCTAGGCTGGTTGGCTGGTTTTAGCTGGTTGACCAGGCTGGTTTTAGAGAGGTTTTGGCCACTTCCAGGCTGGTTTCCAGCCATTTCCAGCCTGATCTTAGCTGGTCAGTCTGGGAGATGACCAGCTAAAACCAGCTTGAACAGCCTAGCCAAGCTGGGAGTCCAGCCAAAACCAGCTATATCCAGCTTAAACCAGGCTGGTCAAGCTGGCTTTAGCTGGATTTGGCTGGTCATTTTCCAGCCTGACCAGCTAAGACCAAGCTGGAAATGGGTGGAAACCAGCCTGGAAATGGCCAAAACCCCTCTAAAACCAGGCTGGTCAACCAGCTAAAACCAGCCAACCAGCCTAGGCTGGTTTAAGCTGGATTTTTCAGCAGGGATATGTTTTACACAGCAGATGCCCTCAAAGATGCAACCCATTACTGGGTTACCCAACTCCCAATCGGCCTACCCAATTCACCTATAGCATGTGTTTGGACTTGTGAAGGAAACCCACGCGAACATGCAAACTCCACACAGAAACACCAACTGTCCCAGCTGAGGGAACCAGTCTTATTGCTGTGAGGCGACAGCGCTACCCACTGCTCCACTGTACTGCCCCCTAGCACTGTTAATTTGATGTATTTGGCATTGTCTGACTTGACTGCCTTTCCCTTTTTATGGTCCATCTCTATCAATTTGTTGCACTTACTGTGTGTTTGACATCCTTGCCAGATTTTGATTACGTCTGCATAACTTCTGATTGGGTCGGCCCATCTCGAAACCAGCCGGTCGTTGATGATTGAGCGAATGCTTAACATTGATTAATATTCTTACTATTATCATCATCATCATCATCATCATAATATTCACATCTTGCAAGAGATAAAAGCTGCTTACATGTAAAAAACAATACATATGAAAAAAATAAATAAAAAAAAATAGCTGACCGGCCCACATTTAAAAAATGGTCCTGCCCTTCTGGCATTTGCCAGAATTGCCAGATGGCCTCATACTCGAATCTTCTGACTAATCAAATGCTCTCTAGTGTCTGACATGCCCCGCCCCCTTTAAAACACTTCACATTTCATGCTTATGATCTAAACCACTCTCACTGGCAGAGCTGTGATAAAACAATAATCTATTGGCTGTTTATTTAAAAGGGAGGAGCTAGTCAATGTCCCGCCCTCTCTTCATGTTTCGATTGAGATTACGTCAAACATCGAATAAAAGTGCACACTTCATGGGACCTTTAATATGTCATTCTCCACTCACCGCTGCACTCCAGACCACAAAGGTTGAGCGAACGCCCCGATCCGGAGCCACAAGCCACACGATCACTCAGCTGGAAGATTCCCAACCGCCTCCATAAGTCAACACCACCACGCACCTCTGAAGAAGAATCTCCAGAGCTCTCCTCCTCAGATATGGCCTCGGCTCCGCTTCCGAAAGAGTCCTCCGGGATCTGTTCAGGGAGGAGAGCTTGACGCCACATGGAGAAGATCTCTTTTGCTCCCTGGTTCTCAACACTCTCCACTTCATGGGCTGACCTCCTACTTCTTACTCTCTTGGGATGACTCGGTGGATGAACGGGGATGATGTATTCATCTTCCATGTTGTCCTCATCCTCCTCTTTTGCCGGTGCCGTCTCCTGGTTTGGTTTGTGAGGGGTTGGGAATGGAGGTTTGATGTGGTCTTGGTGGATCTGGATGCTGGTGATGAGGCTGGTGTTGAAGCCCGAAGTGTTTTCCACATTACAAACAACTGAAAGAAAATCGAGGAAACTAGATTGGAAGCTTGATCATGAAGGAGGTGTATGAGTGACTAGCTATGTTTCCATCCAAAAATGCAGATTCACTTTATGCGCAAAACAGGAATATTGAATAAAAGACGTGCGAATAAAGCAACGTTTCCATCCAACGATTCAAAGAGAACAAAATCGTCACTTCCTGATTATCTGGTGCCACTTATCAACAGTAAAAATGGATTTTGCTGTGGTAGGAGAAGCTGCGTGAATCTTTTCTTCTTTTAATTAATGACTTGCGCGTCAGAAGACGATGCTGACACACAGGGAATGCGTGGTGGTGTTTGAAGGCGTCAGACGCAGAGCATAAACGCTTTTGTAATACTGAAACGGTTATGGCGTTTTAAAATGACCAAAACAACATTTGAGATGGTTTACAGCGTGCTCAGCCTGATGGTTTGTCTATTCACACGCATTTTCATTGTCACATGATCTCTTTTAACAAAATCACATGACCTTTTTTAATGCACATACTGGAATTTGTTAGGTAAAAATGTTTCCATTGCAGTTTATGCACGTCTTTTCTTACTGAATAAAAAGTTTATCCTACTCCGTTATGCGCATATATTTTTATGCGCATTTTCAAAATTGACGCGCATCTTGGTGTTTCCATCATTTGTTTACTTATGCGCATTTCCAAAATGCGCATGAAAATAGGCGGATGAAAACAGCTACTGACGCCAGGCATTTATGTTTCATTTAGTGTGTAGTATTTACCACGGTTTGGGTTTTTCTGTCATTTCAAAATGTCACTTTATTTTCACTTTGTCACAGTTGTTAAGGGCGTACTTACACTATATACAGTTGCCTCGAACCAGGCCAAAGCACGATTGTCACCCTTCCCGTCTCCCCCTACAGCCCGCACTCACATTACAATCAGGCCTGGGCATGCTTACGTCATCGATGCTGCGCTGTTCAGTAAGGGCTCTCGCTCATCACAGTCAAGATTTCTCTAGTTATATCGCTTTAGTCCTTAGGGATGCGGTGACACGCTGTCAGATATTTCGCCGAACAGATCCGCCACTTTTGACGCTCATAAACAATCATAAAGCTCTCGTGCTGCAGGAATTAGGAGGTTTGCTGAAGGTGCAGCTGTCGTGCAGTGAGGGGTTTGCATCTTTAATAAACTACAGCAGTTTGCGTTCACTGAACAGTAAGAATGATTAATAAATCCATATGAAGCAGTCCCTTAAAAATCACGTCTTGCTTTCAGTTTCAGGCTTTGCCACGTTTTGCAATCACACACAAGTGTACCGCGCCAAAGCCCAAGTGAACCGCGCTCTGGCACACCTCTTTAAACCAGGCCAGAGCCTGCCAGGTGAACTGTGCCTGAGCCCGATTCAGAGCTGCCGTCCGTTTGTTTTGGTTTAGACGGCAGCCTCCGTGAGGAACTGCCATCACTGTTATTAATAAATCAGTTAAAAACTTCGTCGGTTCTCCGCCTCCTTCTTCCCGGCGGCAAAAGGGCCGTGAACTTCATTACACATATTTGAAAGAAAGAAAAAATATTGACTTTAGCGATGACAAGGTTTCATTTAAACAGCACAAGATGCCGTCTGACAACGAGGGGAAAATGCCTCATAGAAGTTGTTTTCCATCCTATTAGATCCCATTTCTTTAAATGATCAGTCCAGGAGGTGGTGCTGATCGACAACAGTATCAATTCAAAGATGATAAAAGCAGGTAAAACTGATTAAAACTATCGTTTCAAAGCTGTACGAATGTGACTGTTTATACGCATCAGCTGCCGACCAGAAGTTCTTCGCATTCTCCTTGCGCATACACACAAAGCATAAGGGGTAGATCACGTTCTCAGAAAAAGGTCTATAGACACACAAAGAAACATTAATACACTGTAAAACCCAAAAAGATAAGGTAACTCAAACCGTGTGAGGAAGCCGATTGCAACAAACAATTTAAGTTCAATAACTAAGCCTAATGAGTACTGTGAACTTACTCCATTTGAGTAAACGAAGCAATTTGAGCACAGTAAAACCCAATAAATGAAGAGAACTCAAACCAACTGAGTACTGTAAAACCCAATAAGTTAAGGCAACTCAAACCGTTTGAGGAAACTGATTGCTACAAACCATTTGAGTTACTAATCTATATGAGTACTGTGAGCTTACTCCATTTAAGTTGAAGTAATGAGGTATTTAATTAACTCATTACCTTAAACACTGAGTTCAAAACTCTTTTCAAATGAGTAGAATTAACTTTTTAGTTAATTTTTGTAGTTAGCTACACTCATTTCATTTGATAAAGCTGACTGTTGGGTTTGACCGTGTAATACAGTAGCATAATTTTTGCAGTTGACCTTATTGCATATGTATATATTTTTTGCAGAAGTTTAATTATGATTTAACTCCCCAAAAACGCATGAGACATGTTGTGCCTATGTTGCATTAGTTAAAATGAGCTAATATGTTGTGCATTATCAGTAAATCAATCACAGAAATATCCACCCCTATTCCCAGTTTTATAAGATTCCACTCTCATAATAATTTGCATTGTTTAGTCACTTTTCATAGGGATTTTTGTGACTATGCATTTCATGCTGTGCCATATGAATCATAAAGACACATCCGTCTTTTAAAAGCATGATTATCCAGTCCTAAACCTACAGGCTGCTCAAAAACACATGAATTATAAGTCCAAATTTCGGTGAAATCCCTCTTATTCACCTGTCGAGAGATTTCCTGACATTTTCAGAGCAGTAAGAGTTACTCACGACTGGCGATAAGTTGGTCCACAGTCATTTTGTCTCCAGTAGCGTGAGCCCGCGCCGCCTCCAGCTGCTCCTTCAGCTCACATTTACTCACAATCCGTCCATGAGTCACAGCAGACGCCAGCAGAAGCAGAGCACACGCAGACAGCATCTTCATCTCAATCAACGCTGCGGATCAAACACAACACAATCAATACTGAAATCGATGACAATGAAGGACAAAACAAATCATTCAGCAAAATGAGCAACATGGTGACTGTGATGAGGAAAAAACGGCATTCTGTCTTGAGACGTCTGATGATGCTGCACAATATGTCGGAGAAGTATCGCCATCGCGATTATAGTATGTGCAATATCTATATCGCAAAGAAGTACAATAAATTTAATTAGGTTCATGTGCCAAGCATTTGTGTGCAGCATGCACATGCTTATTCAAATCTGACCAATCAGGTGGGGCCTTTACTATCTTTATGTATTTACTATCCCATGTTAGCTGAACCAAGAGCTGAAAAATAAACACTTACTCTGAGAGAAGAGAGAGGAAAATGACAACAGCCTTTCAGAATCTGAATTACCGGCAAGGTTTCCAGTCATTTTTTAAAGTTCACTTTTCACTTTAATTACCTTAGGAAAATATTTTTATTTTAATATGACCATTACATACATAAATTATTTTAAATGCTGATAAGATAGTGTTTTTTTAAGTATCGTAAGAAATATCATTATCGCAACACTCAACAATATTGCAATAACAATATCAACTATAGTTTTCCAGTATCCAGCAGCATTCATTTTAATGCATTTACCCAGCCAACAATTTTAGTTTATAAAAACGTTCCTATAACATTCGCGTTAAGTTATAAAAATGTTTTATTAATGCTTTTAGAATTTTCAAAACGTCAAAAAGAAAAGTTTTTGTTTGGTTATAGGAACATTATTCAACACAGGCTCATTCTGAAAACGTAGTCCCATGGACGTTTCTGAAGATCGCGAATTATGTAGCCGGAGATACATATGGCTGCATTTCATTTTTTTAAGCGAACGGTACAGGCCGGTATGACGTCGATCCTTTTGGCACTTTCCGGCTAACCGCTTACCTCTGTGTTGAGGGCTTTCCAACCGCAACCAGTTTGTCCAGCTAGCTTGTCGTGTACGTCGACGGACTTGAGACGCAGAGAGGAGTTGACCACGATGACGACCGGGTTTGAGTCGTGGGAAGAGCGGTTCCAGAAATCAGGTAAGACAAAAACATAATCCAAAAAATAAAACGAACGAATGAACAACAGGGTGAGAATGTGGTAACATCTGAAAACTTAGTAAAAATCAGACAAGGGCTTTTCTTTCTCTGGACGGCTTTTGTAAACGGTTGGGTAGGTTTAGGGAAGTAAGTGGGTGGGCGGGTCAATTGATAAAATTGGTTGGGATTAGGGAAGGAGGTAGGTGGGTCAGCCGATTGGCCGATCGCCCAGTCAATCATTCGGTAATTCAGTTGGTCGACAGCGACCTCTGGTGGGTTAAAGTGAGAACAGCGCGTGTGCAAACAGCACTCGCGAGAGATACGAAAAAGCGCAAACAGCGGCCTCTCGCGGATTTGCAAAAACAAAAACTGCAAAAATACGTACCTCCCTGGATGTATTTTGCGGTCTCCAGAAACCTCCACTGGACTGTTTTCATGAGCCTGGGTTGACATGATTGTAAGAAAATGTTTCTATCAACATTATAAGAGCATAAATCAAGCACAAATTACATCATAAAACCAACCCAGGCTCATAAGAAATATATGCCTCAGCCTATATTTTTTTGCAAAATGTAAAATACATTGCTCTATGTACGTTTCATTCCACGTTTCAAATGGCAAATCAACTAGAGGGCGCTGTCTATTTTTGCAAGCTTGAAATACAATATATAGCAAATGTTTTGTTTTACGTTTCCGAGGACAAATCCAGCAGATGGTGCTGTCTAGATTTGAGTAAAATAAAATACATTTCTCTGGGTTTGTCTTGTTCCAAGTTTCAAAATAGCAAATTCGCTATTTTGGGTGCTGTCTACATTTTAAAGAAACAAATACATTGCTCTGGGTACGTTTCATTGCACATTTTAATTGACAAATCCACTAGAGGGCACTATCTTTTTTTTTTTTTTTTTTTGGCAAATTTGAAATATATTACTTAAGGTACGTTTTGTTGTACATTTGAGATACACGTTTTTGCCTAATACTATTGTTTTAAGATCGTTTAACAATTAACATTACAAGAACATAAAAAACATTATAAGAACGTTAAAAAATTTATTTTACTAATGTTTTACACTAACATTTATAAGATTTTTATAGAACATTACTGGATAATATAGAAACATTCCCTGTTAGCTGGGGAGTTTATATTGTAAAATAAAATTAATAAATTAATCGTTTTCTGTACTCTCTAGATTTTGCAATCAACGTTTGATGTTGAAGATTTAAAAAGGTGACTTTTAATGATATTTTTAACATTTTAAAGTTATATATTGTCTGGGTTGGTGTTGTAAATTAAATTAATTAAATAAAATTTTGCATATTTTATTTCTTACACAATATATTTTCAAACTACTAATATTTCAATAAAATGTATTTAGTTAAACTTCAGAGATGAATTTCAACATCAAAATTCAACAGAGCAGAGATCAAGCTCCCTTTGATTTCTGTTCATCACCATAAATAAACAAAACAAAATTTACTTTCAGCAGTCTTGGTCCACTTGTTTAGTTCAGATGGCAGCGTTCACACTGTGAATTCTCTGAAGAATTCACTTTAATCAAATCTTGTGTGAACACATTCACCGCAAAGTCAGCGTCACACAAACTACAAGAACATTCATTCATTCATTTTCCTTCAATTTAGTCCCTTGTTTATCAGGAGTCGCCACAGCAGAACGAACCGCCAACTATTGCAGAATATGTTTTACGTGGCAGATGCCCTTTCAGCCGCAACCCAGTGCTGGGAAAAACTATACACACTTACATTCACACACACACACACACACTCATACACTACAATCAATTTAGCTTATTCAATTCACCTATAGCACATGTGTTTCGACTGTGGGGGAAACCGGAGCACCTAGAGGAAACTCACGACAACACTGGGGGAAACATGCAAACTCCACACAGAAATGCCTACTGACTCAGTCAAGACTCGAACCAGTCACCTTCTTGCGCTGAAGCGACAGTGCTAACCATTGAGCCACAGTGCCGCCCACTACAAGAACACAAATGTCCCCAAAACAAAGAGTCCTAAAGCAACAACGCGTCGAGATTTTCTCATTCCAAACTCTCATTTGTTCTTGAGTCCAGCAATACGGCTCCGTTTGCCCTTAGATAAAACGAAAAGAGCACTAAGCTGAAGTAGTTGAGTGGACAGATGTTTACGTGCTGATAGCAGCTCCGCAGACGTGAGACACATTTATAAAACACAGAAAGAAGGATGACAACCCAAAGAAGCACACCGGGCGATGCTTTTCCTCTGCTTTAGCCTCAAATTAAGCCACTTTCAGGAGAAAACACTTAAAAAAGAAGAAGAATGAGCTCCCACTGACACATTAGCGCTCTGAATGTTTTTAAGATGCAGGGACCATTTTGGATTGAAGCCACATTATATAAAGCTCTCAGAATCCAAACAAACAAATCTGTCATCAAGTGCTATTTGAGGACACCCGCTGCCTGGTGGAATAAATTAATACTGCTTTTTATTAAATATAAAATGGTAAAATATAAAGAAAGTGTCATTATTGTGGTCTTACCAGTAGAAGCTTGCTTGAGATTCATCTCTGGATTGCTGGTTGCCCTTATATATACACACACACACACACAGCAGTGACCTGTAATCATATCAATACTGTAAACCGGTCACACCAAGACTAATAGTAAGGCTATATTTTGTCAACCCACATGACAAAAGCTTCATTCTTTCTGTGTTGTTTTACCTTGGTGTTCCTTAAATTTAATATGCTTAAGAGTGTACTTAAAGGGTGTTCGAGCACTCTGCATTTCTGACAGTCATTGTCAGCTGATAAGAGTCAAATAGTCAGGTAATGACTCAAAGAGAAAGACGAGAATGTGTAAATCTATCTGTATGTATCAACTTCTTTTCCTGAAACTCAATCAAACTGGTACACTTTTGGGTTTTATTACTAGCTCTGTTTACAAAAACCCTCCTTGTGCCAACAGTATAGGCTTTCATAAGGACGTGATGTGTGGCGCTGGAATGTTTTTGAAATGTTTACACGGCTGAAACACTGATAAGGTGAGTCGCATTTAAGCAACTTCAGATTACGTATTTGTGAAACCGCAAAAATGTAGTTTAGTTATCAAATCCCCACCAATCGCCCTCTACACTGTAAAAGATATCGGTTAATTAACATATTCTGGATTTTGTGATTCACCAGCCTGATCTCACGGGAAGACGTACGTATTTTACGTTTTGCCAGTTTAGTAGCTAATTTGTGGGCGTGACACCTAACCTCACCCCTAAACCCAACCGTCATTGGGGCATGAGTAAATCGTACTAAATTGTACGAATTAGATTGTACGAATTCATACGAATTAGCCACTAAATAAAAAAGTTACGAATTGCCATGAGATTGTGTTGGATTCACAAGTGTTTTCTGTTTATTTAAAGTTGTGAATTGTATTATATGATGTTGATATTTTCTCTGAAAACTGTCGATTTACAGTTTAACAAAGTGACTTTTATTGATATTTTTGTAGTTTGAAATCATATAATGTGTAAGAAATAATATATAGAGGAATAAGTGTTAACAGAAAATGTACTAGCAGCAAGGTTTTTGTACCATAATATATAACACCAACTCAGACAATATATGACTTTAAGTGAAGTTTATTCATAAACTGATTTCAAGAGGAACACATGCTTATGATTGACCACAGCTGGTCCTGCATTAGCAACTCACAAATAAGAACAAGAAAGTAATTTACACAACTATAAGAGCAGCAATGAGTAAGTGCTGTAGGCAGGTTTCAGGTGTGTAAAGTGTAAGAAGCAAAACATTAGTCATTTTTTTTTTTTTTTTTTGCTGGTAATACAGTTAGCGGTAGAACCAGAGAGGCAATTGCAGATTAGGAAGGGAAGTGGAGACTAAATAGTTGAGTTTTTAGTCGTTTCTTGAAGACAGCGAGTGACTCTGCCGTTCTGATGCAGTTAGGGAGTTCATTCCACCAACTGGGCAGATTGAACGCGAGAGTTCGGGAAAGTGATTTCTTCCATCTTTGGCATGAAACCACGAGGCAATGTTCATTCACTGAACGCAAGTTTCTGGAGGGCACATAGATCTGCAGAAGTGAGAGCAGATAAGAAGGAGCAAAGCCAGAAGTCGCTTTGTAAGCAAACATCAAAGCTTTGAATCCAGCCTGCAAATCCGCCTGTTGACTACAAATCCACCAGTTCATGGACTACAACTTTATGCATGCACTCCGTTCACACACATGCTCTAAATCCTGACTGATTACCAGGGCCAGAAAGAATCTGCGGACGTTTTTTGATGTTTCTGCAGAGAATTTTGGTAAAAATCTGCGGATTTCTGCTGAATTATTGTGGGAGTATCCAGCAGAGTATCATAACTAAAGCCTTAATATATGAAATAAAAAGTAATAAATCACTGAATAAAAACTGAATAAATTCAGATTTACACATTTACTCAAGTAAATAAACAGAATTAATGATGGGCTAAAAATCTGCAGAAGTCTGCGGAATTCTGCGGAAAATCTGTGGAAAATCTGCGGAATTCTGCGGATAATCTGTGGAAAATCTGCGGAATTCTGCGCGCTCAGATTCCGTGTGGGCATACTGATTACACACGCACAGCTGAAGCTGCTCAAGGACTGATTCATGGACTATTACTGCTCAAACACAAACACTGTGGTCGAGTCTTATCTGTTCTAGTCACATTACAACTTTGTCTTGCTTTACAGTGTTTTGATCCTTGCCTTGTTTATTTGTTTAATCCTGTTTGCTGTCTGCCTCTGACCATCTGTCTGCCTACTGACTACGATTCTGGATTGTCTGTATATATCTGTTTGCCCATGTGTTGCCCGTTGCTGGCCTGACCTCGCCAGTAAACCTGCATCTGGATCCGCATCTCTGTTGTCAGTGTCACTTCC